GCCAACGTGCAGTGTGTTTGTCGTTCAAGGTGGCTTTGCCTTCTTTCATCCGCAGGTGGCAGCATGTCCCCAGCTGAGCTGGAAGTCTGGGGGTTTTGTTTGGGTTTTATTTTGTTGTTGTTGTTCTGTTCCTGCTGGTTTTGGGTTTTCTCTCCACGCTGATGATGATGCTTTGTTCTGAGAGGGGCAAGAATACTTTGTTTTGTGAATTTTGTGATCTGGCTGTGCATGCCACAAGACCTAAAACATCTCTGAGCGGGTTCACTCAGTGCAGCTGGAACAGGTCCTTTTCCAACCATGTTATCCTGTGATGAAGAAAATTCCCCCTGTCCTTCCCGAACCGTTGTGCTGTTCGATTCTTTACAGAGCACCAGAAGCATGTCACCTAGGGAACCACGGGCAGGATTGTCTGCCTACAGGAGCCACGGGCAGGATTCTCTGCCTACAGGAGCCACTGGCAGGATTCTCTGCCTACAGGATGAGTTATGACACGGTTCTGCGTTAGCAGTGCGATTTCAGCTCGTTATCTCCAGCAGTGTTAAAGTTTTTAGAAGACTGCAAAATAAGTCTTGAAGTGTTGTCAGACTCTTTGATCTAGCAGCTGATGACAGTTCAAAATATGTTTCTAGTTTAATGTTTATCCTTAGAAAATAAAGGCTCTGCGCTCCTCAGTGAATGGTGCTGCCATATGACCCTCTGCAGTTCCAAACATGTGTTGGCTGGGATGAGCATCCTCTTGAAGTCAGGCGTCCTCTCCCATCGCTGTCTGAGCTCCACCAGCACTCCGAGAGGAGCTGCCGGGGCAGCTGGGAGGCTGCTGTGTGGAGCAGGGGGAGGAACTGCTCTCAGGCAGTGCCTGTCCCTGCCCTGACTCACGTTGTTGTGGTGGCTGAACCAGCTTTTGAAAATAAATCCCCGTGTGCTGCAGCAGTGGTGCAGTACCCGATGATCGCGATTTCAGGGGTACTGGAGAAGGTTTTTGCAGTAAGGAACGGCTTTTGTTCTTCCTTTTATGTGATGAGGCAAGGAAGGTTCAGATTGCATGTGTTCCTTCTTGACTTCCTGGCTAATTAATCTTCTGTCAGTAGTGTGTAGCTGAAAGCAAAGCCAGGCTAGATTTCAGCTGCTCCAGCCAAGTGAAGCGTTGCCTTTCTGTGCTGGGGCTGAGCACGTTGCCCGTGAACCAGGCTTTCACCCTGTCCTGGCTGAGTGCTACAGGGCCAGTCTGATTGTTAGGAGGTGGTATCTTTAATGTCTGAATGCATTATAGGAAGTATTATAACACCTAAAAATTTGGATACTTGATTATAGATGTTTTTAATATTCTCCCTGAGTACCTTTGAAGAAATGCAAAGAATGGCCAAAGTCTCTTAAATGTAACACTATAAAAATTGCTTGGGATCAGTGGTGACGTGTGGTTCTGGCTTTAAATTCTGAGATGGTCTGGGGGTAGCACAGACTGAATCATAGAATCATAGAATGGTCTGGGTTGGAAGGGACCTTAAAGCTCATCCAGTTCCAACCGCCCTGCCAGCAGCAGGGACACCTTCCACTGGACCAGGTTGCTCAAAGCCTCATCCACCCTGGCCTTGAACACTTCCAGGGAGGAGCAGCCACAGCTTCTCTGGCCAACCTGGGCCAGGGTCTGACCACCCTCACAGTGAAGAATTTCTTCCTAATATCTAATCCAAACCTCCCCTCTTTCAGCTTAAAGTAATTTCCCCTTGTTTTGTCATTAAGTGCCCTTATGAAAAGTCCTTCCCCAGCTTTCTTGTAGCCCCTTCAGGTACTGGGAGGCCACTATAAGATCTCCCCGGAGCCTTCTCTTTTCATCAAGCTCCTTTTCCTTCTGATATGAATCTAGTACTGTGCTCCTTGGGACTGTTACGAAGCAGGACTCCCATCTTCCCTGCTACTCAGTTGTTTCTTCCCTCCTGCCCTGTCATTGTCTGTTCTTGTCCTGTGCTCAGATTTTGGCTCAGCTCAGTGAGGATTTTGAAGCTGTTTTTAATCTCTGTCAGATTTTATTACCAGCATGATACAGCAGTTTATCTGCAGAAGCCATCTCATGCATTTTGCAGGAGCAGGTGAGGCAGTGGGAACTGCAGGAGAAGCTGCACTGAAGTCACCGTGCAGCCCTTCACCCCTGGCTTTGTTCCCCAAATGTCTACCTTGACAGAAAGGGAGTGTCTTGGACAACAATCACTCAGGGAGTGTGAGTGCTGCAGTAAAGGTGAGGTAGCTGTGCACCCTCACCCCTTGGATGTTTCAGAGAGAGGAGGTGTTTGCAAAATCTTTGTTCTACTGGCCTCTGTTTTACTAGCTGTTGGCTACTGCTGGTCAGAGCTCGTTGGTTTTAAGTCTCTGCATGCAGACATCATGATGCTGGAGATGTTAGCAGACATCTAAGCTGTCCTTTCCATCAGCTGGTGGTCTCATTCCCTCTTCTCATGACTTGAAAGGCCAGAAGTTAGCTGTTTGGAGGAGCGAGGGAGCAGCCTGTGAGTAGTGTTGGTTCTGTCCGGCTTCTGGGTTAAGATAATTTAACAATCAAATTGCGAGATACTGCGTGTAGGATTCTTTCCTAGTCCAGGCAGGACACCGAGCACCTGCCTCAGGTGCTGGGATGGCAACTTTCTGCCTCTTCTGGGCAAGATCTGCACTGGCATCAAGCCTTAAAGGCTCTGCTGAAAATGCCTGTGTCTCCTTGAGGGTTATAGAATCACAGGCTGGTTTGGGTGGGAAGGGATCTTAAAGCTCATCCAGTTCCAACCCCCCTGCCAGCAGCAGGGACACCTTCCACTAGACCAGGTTGCTCAAAGCCTCATCCAACCTGGCCTTGAACACTTCCAGGGAGGAGCAGCCACAGCTTCTCTGGCCAACCTGTTCCAGTGTCTGAGGTTCACAGCACCTGTGTTGCTTTGGCAGAAGCTGCCTGCTCTTTGGGCACATTGGCTCATCGCGGCACGTCTCCTTCTGTCTCCCCTCCCTAAATCTACCTTGTACAGATGGTGACCCCCTTCGTTGCTTGGAGCCACAGCGAAGGCCAGGGTGACAGTATTTGAGTTTTTTCCCAAAGAAGCTGGAAAAACCTCTTTCTGTGTGGGGTCAGGGGTGTGAATTCTGAGGCACAGAAATACCACGGCTACAAACGCGGGCGGTTGTTTCTGGAGAGCTGTAGCTATCGCCAGCTTTTCCCACAGGCTCTCACGTGTCAGAGAGGATGTCACAATAATTCAGATAGCGTATTCCCAAGGTCTAAACTTTCACTAGCTGATAGGGGCACAGTCCTTGGAGACTCCTGAAGGAATCTGACAGGTAATGTGGCAACGGTTCAGTGCCAGCCAGACAGCTACTCTCCTCCTTCAGTTCTTGCGTTTAGCTCGGTGCCTGGCATTAGACCCAGTCGGTTTTGTGATGAGAAGATAGATGTGTCTCCTTCTCCCTTTAGGTAGCACCCGAAGTGCAAGTAACTGGTATGCAGAACTGTCTGGAAGCTGGCAGATGTGTCTGCTTCTCCACCTTTACCCAATCCTTTAGCACGCTGTGTTTCCATGGGGGGGACGGGGCTGTTGTGACTCCCCCCTTCCCCAGGCAGGGAGGTGTTTGAATGCCACGCGCGGAGCTTCAGCGTGGGGAGAAGGTTCTTTTGCAGCTACCACAATCAAAGCAGTAGCGCTGAAAGGAGCCTGATTCATGGGGGAATCTTTAAATGGAGCTGCAGAATGCTGTGTGGTGACTCTGGTGGGGCCAATTAGTGGATTAAATTATCTGCATGTGAAGTCCATTTTAGCTTTGCGGTTTGGACTCTTGGTGACTGTTACGTTGGTGTTTCTTGGCCGGGTGTGAGAGGTGAACGTGAAGCTGTAAGGACGGCATAACCGCTGCGTTACACGACATGCACAACGCTGTGGTTAGATATTAACCGGGATCTGCGCTTCTGTGCACGCTGAGCCTTGAAGAGCTGACCATTTATTTTCTAGTGTTTAATTTTTCACTTCTGTTCCCCAGAAGAATGTCGACCAGTTTAACCTGAAGCACCTACCCTCAGCCTTTTTTTTTTTTCCCCACTGGGGCATATTTGTCCCCATATCGTGAAGTCTAACAAGGGGACATATCCTGGGTGTTTGTAGCAGAACGTTGTACATAAAAGGACGCTGTCACGTGCAAGTTCAGAGTTCCCAAGTCGCTCCTCTGCCATCACCTGTACGCGTGCCTGGTGTGCATCTGGGAGGACTGACCTGTATCTCTACATCTGTGCAGAGCCAAGGGCAGGATAGCACAGCATAATGTTCAAGTATCTGTAAGCAGGGTGTGTTTCGTGGTCACACACTGATGTGCAGCCTCGTCCCTTCGCGCGTGAGCCGCAGAAACACCTGATTGGAAATAAGGGTACTCACAAAGCGCGGTACTGCATTTGCACGCCCGTCCTCTGAGTCATCTTCCCAAGCACCACCGGGTCTTGGTGTCCAGCTGAGTCCTGCTCAGCTGTTGTTGGGGACGAGGAGGGGACACGAACAGAGAGGAAATAGCTTGAAAGAGCATTTCCCCTCGGTCCGGAGGGTGCGATCGCAGCCTTGCGCAGGCTTCTGCTGGTCAGACTGTACCGGAGCGCTGGTCACCGAGATCTCTCTCTTGCACGTTCAGCTTTGACCTTCTCCACCTGCCGCAGTAGGGTGAGGTGAGAGATGGTCTGCAGTAGGGTGAGGTGAGAGATGGTCTGTGATAGCAGGCACCGCCAGCTATGCTGAAAGCCTGGAATCACACCCAGAACGGATGAGCAGGCGGAGAATGTCTTGACTACAGTGTCAGTCCCTGCAGGGAGTTACCTGAAAACCGCAGCCTCGGTGGTCGCGCTGCGCGGTGCAGCCTGTGTGAGAAGGGGCTGAGCGCTGTCCCCGTGCAACAGAACGTGGGGTTTCACAGGACTGAGTTCTCTTCAGAAACACTGTGTTACCAAAAATTAACCTGGTTCTTCCTCCCTGGCAAAATTCCTTCCTTTTGTTTCCTGGAGAGCTTGAACAGCCCCTTACTGTTGGCAACAGGAAGAAAGGAACGAGCTGAACCTTGGAGCCTGTACTTTCATAGAAAGACAAGATGCATTAGGCAGGGAGCTGGTCCAGGCGCAGGAGCCAAGAACCAAGTCTGTCACCTGTGCCTTTGTCCGCTGCTCTTTTGCTGCAGCACGTCTAGAGCGATATCTGTGGCAGACCAAACCCGGAGCGCTCCATCGCCTGCTGCATAGGACAGCTTCTGAAGCACGCAGGAGTTGTGGTTGTTTTGACAACTGGATAGTTAATTTATCTGAAAATAAAGGGGAAAATTTAGTGTTAGGTTGCTGTGTGTGCCTTGTGTTTTATTTATAGTTTATTAGCCAAACCTGCTGACAGGATATATCTCAGTTACTGCCTGGGGAATGGGGGGAGGCGGGATGGTACCAGCCGCTGCCTGGAGAAGGCATTCCAGAGGCTCTGTGAAACTTCACGTGAGGCAGAAAGTGTGCAGGCAGATGGCAGCTGCTCTAATTAAGACTTACTGTCTCTGCTGTTTTTCTTCCTGCTGCTGTGGCTTTTAAGGTATCTCCCTTCTTTTTAACAGCAGAGGAATTGTAGTGATTTATTATCTGTACAGCACAGTATGTGTTATATATTACAGTGGTAAGCCAGCTTAAACCCACTGAAGTAAATGTCTTGAACCTTCAGTAAATTGGCCGATGGGATGAGGAGTCTCCCAAGACAATGGCAGCTGAAGATGTGTAAATGAAGTTGCCGTTTCTGGTTAGTTATTACCCTTCACCAGAATCTTCTGAACGAGGCTGGTAGAACACCCTGACTGGCCTGCACAGCCGTAGAGACGCTGGGCAAAGAGACTCGCTAGCGAGTTAATGTGGAAAGCACGTCATGCCCGTGGCTGCTCCTGGCGCTGGGACGCTCGAGCGCAGTTAGCACGGAGGAACAGCCGGATCATCTGTTTCTGTGAAGTGCTGGGCGTGCTGTGTTGTCCTGGTTTTGTTGGTTGGGCTTTGGCTTTGTTCACAAGCGCATCCCAAAAGCTGTGCTAATTGGGTGCCCGCTGCTGGTTGCCGCTGCACCTGTATGGTCACAGGCTGCCATGCCAGAATACTTCAGCGTTTGAAATGGCGTCTGATTCTTTCCCTTCGTGGGGGGACTTTGCCCAGGGTTTGTTCATTGGAATACAAAATGAGCATTTCTTTGGTGTTTCAGAGTTTCAGAAGCTGTGGAGGAGCATTCCTGTGGATTCTATGGATGAGGAGAAAATCGAAGAGTACCTGAAACGACAGGGTATTTCCTCCATGCAAGAAACTGGACCAAAGAAAATAGTAAGAGATACAAATGAGTGCTGTCACTTCTTGCAAAAACAAGCAAGCACCATCCCCACCCACCCACCCCTGGTTCCAGCAGGGCTCCTCTTTGCAGAAGTCCTGTCCACCACAGGTCAGGTGTTGCAGCTGGAGGGCAGGTCTTTTGATTACTGTTGATTTCTTCTTGTAGGCTCCCGTTCAGAGGAGGAAGAAACCCGCTTCTCAGAAGAAACGTCGGTTTAAGACTCACAACGACCACTTGGCTGGAGTATTAAAGGACTACTCTGATGTTGTTCCTGGCAAGCAGTGACCGGCCGGCTGAGTTCCGAGGCAAACACGTTTTTATCCAGGCTTTTTGCCACTCGAGCTCGGTGTCTGCTTGCAGAAAGACTGACTGTATGTAGTAATGTGATGTGTTTCCCCCATCCCAGCAACTGCCGAGATGAAACAGGTCAGTTTAAGAGCAAGTATGAACTACTAAATTTAGTTTAATTTACTTAGCTAATGGGAAATGTATCTTGGAGCAAGAGGTTCTCACTAGTTGCCTTTTGGCGTAGAGTGATAAGTAGTGCTCAGCATGTCATGCCAGAGGTCCTGTTCAGTGCTTAACTCTGCTTTTACATTGCTTAATGGGTCTTTACCTGGAATTACTTACGGGGGCCTTTCTAGTAGAATTGAATTCAGCACTTGTTTTACCTTATCAGGAAAACCTTTTCCTGAAATCACTGCAGGCGAGTTTCTTTCACACACACTCAAATACACCCACGGTTGGTACGCTTCTTCCTTGCCCTAGGATTGAGCTTTGCTGAACGTCCTTGGTGATATCTGAGGCTCTAACTCAGAAACACCCCTCTGCCGAGCTCCCAGCAGGCTGCAGGATGGCAGTGCAGCTGTAGCGTCCTCATGCTGATCAGAAACTGCCCTGGGTCCTTTCTTGTCACTGTAGTGGATGCACATGTGTTGCACAGTTCTGCTGTATGGGTAGGAGGGAAGTGAAGTCACAGTGTAATACTGAAACTTTTCCTTTTTTTTTAAGTAATAAACTTACAATGCTGGTTTCCAGTGTTGCTTCCTTAAAGAACGAGAGAATCAACATATTTCCTTCTTGTTGCGTTTTCCTTTTCAAGGAGATAAAGAAATCTTTGCATATTTTTATCTTCTCAATGACTTATTGTCCTGGGCTAACACTGTCATCTTTTTATTGTGCTTGGCTGGGGAGGGGGGAGGAACCACCTTAAATGAAACCTCTCTGTAGCTGCCTGATGTTCTGTGCAGTACAGACTGATGTGGAATGTGGCCAAATTATGTCCTCCTGATAACTTATTTTTATGTACTGAGCCAGAGTCAATCAGGGCTGATATTGTTTTCATGGCACCAGGGAGAGAAGCTGTTCTCTGCTCTTCTAGGGTTCGGATCAAAGATAAAGCAGGTGTCTGCGATCCCCCACTGGCAGTAGATGGCTGCTGTGTGCACGAGCTGCTGTCTGGCTTGGTACATCAGGGGTTGAAGCAGAGTCCGTTGGATCTGGACACATGAACAGATGAAGAATGAGGCTTTGTTGCTGTGGCACTGAAGGAGTTATGTCTGCCTGGGGAGGCGCAGGAGGAGCAGTACACTCTGTAAGTGTAACGTTTATCCTCCTGATTTCAAAGACTGCTTTTTTGAGAAACAGAAAACACTTCCAGCGTCGCATGTCAGCCCCGTTTCAAGAGTTGCTAGATGCTGGTAGGAGGCCGCTTCTGTTATTTTTTTATATCTATATATTTTTTTTACACTTCTTAAATACATACACACACACATACATATATATATATATATATGAAAAAGCATACTGCTCCAGATGGTTTTGAAACTGTTTTCTTTCCTGTATCTTCCAGGTCAGCAAAAGCAATTCCTCTTGGAGCTTTTTAGTTTTCCATTACAGCCCTGCTTTAAAGCATCTGCAGCACACTTGCAAAACTGTCCACCTCTCTTCTGTCATCTTCACTTGAGGGGAAAAAAAAAGGTTCCCTTCCATTCCTCCTGCTGCATTTTTCAGCAGTGATTTTTTCGGTGGTGGTGCTCAGACAAAAGCAGAGCTCTTGGGGAGCTCTGAGTTGCCTTTCATACCTTGGCAGGTTTTTATGGGGTAACTTCCCAGTCATCTCGCGTGGCATTGCCCTTTCTCTCTGAACCAAAGCTGGCAGAGCAGGCTGCAAGGTAGGCTACGTGTTTTGTTTCTCTGCTCAAGTGATAAAGATTATAGAGGAGCCTAAGAAAACACCTCCGGCTACTTTCAAAGATTAAAAATGTGTTAGGTGAAAAAATGAGAGAGCGGGAAAAGAAGACTGACTGCCAGCTGTGTGTGCTGTGCTGGCCTTGCCAGGCTCCAGTGTTCAGAGGAACGAAACAGTCCAGCTGATGTCCAATTGGGACAACTGGATTAGCTGCTTTGTCTCACTGGAGGAAGTCTCCTCCCCTGCTGTACCAGCAGAGAGGGCATAGTAAGTTTTACAACTTTGAGTACAGTCTCAAATATAGCTGAGGGGAAGCTCACACTGGACCGTTGGAGGTGACGTGGGATACAGACAAGTAGTTGTGAAGTAAACGAGTTTGGGAAATAAGTGTGAGCTTCCTCTCTTTGATACGTGGGTTTGGGGAGCTGGGTTTTGTTTCTCTATGGAAGATGCTCCCAATGGTCCTGACGTTTTTTTCCCAAAACCTCTTAAACATTGAATGCTACAACTTGAAAACATCTCAGACTATATCAAGGGGATCCTGTTTGCTGAGAGCATTTTAGCACCAGTCCAGTCCACTTCAGTCTCTTCACAGCATCATGTCCAGATCGGGCTTTTCACTGGAGTTCAGCCTGAGAGTTCACAGCCCTTAAAAACTTAAACCTCCTTCATCTTCCTCCAGGGTGTTCTCATGTGTTCTGTGTCTGGCAGGATGGTTCTCCCAGTGGCCAAAACCATCGTGCCCTCAGCTTGCTTGCTTTGGCAAAATCTCTTTCCCCTCAGTCTGGTGGTGCGCAGGGCTGCTGAGAGGCATCACGCTCTCTCCTGGCAGCCAGGGGCCCATTACTCTGTTTCCCTTCCCTTCCCTGGAAGCCTCTGCTGCTAACCAGGAGGATAAGGGGTCTGAGGCTGCCCTTGGGAAAGACAGAGCGTAGAATGGAATAGCTCAGTGGGAAGGGACCTGCAATGATCATCTAGGCCATGTCAAGAACCTTTGTCTGGTGCATGTCAGGAAGGCTCCCTGGCAAACCCATTGCAGTGGGGTCTTACCTGTCCCTGCCAGGCGAGGACTCGCTTCTTCTGCTCTCCCGAGGCTCCTCAGGTGATGCGTGTCGTGTCCAGCAAGGACGTTGTTCCCTCAGCTCTAGGATTTGGTGTGTTCATCTTGGCAGGGCTGTTGTTTGAGCCCTCTGGGGCAGTGGAGGAATGCAGGCACGGATGAGCAGCTCCTCTGATGTAGGAACTTTTCTTCTCCTGCCGTATCAGCCAGGAGCATTCAGCTCCCACCCTCTGTGATGCTGATGGACACATGGACAGGGCCTCAGGGAAAAGGAGGGCTCTGTCTCAACGATGGGAGCTGTCTGAGATATTTCTTGGCTGTCTACATCATCCTTTCTCCTGCACAGTGGCACCTTGAGCCTGTGGCTACCAGGACAGTCTCTGCAGCAGTCGCTGGAGCTGTTCCCAAGAGAACACAGCTCTTCTGAGGTCTGCAAGCGCGCTCAGTCCTCTTTCCACATCAGCATTACACCAGTTCCTCTTGGGAGGGAGGTGTGCCCATCCCACTGTGGTGAGACTGGAGGAGGAGGGAGCCAGTGGGCTGAGTTGGGTCACTTCACTGCTAACTTTTCCTCTCTAGCCAGGTGTTACTGGTCTTGGATTTGCTCTGAACAGGTCTCGTTCTAGAGCATCCTGGAGCAATGTCAGCGTGGGGATCACAGCCTGTGCTGGCTCCTCAGGAGGAGCTTGTTAGGACTTCTTGGTGTCTACATACGGGAACCAGAGCTTTGATTTTGTCTGCACCTCCTCACCCTGAAAATAAAAGCGCTGTTGTTTTTCTAAGGTACAAGTTGAATGGCCCAGGGGTGTCACACCTCTAAACATGGAGCTCTGCTGACTTCTCTCTTAAAAGAAAGTTCCTCTAACTGCAGAGTTATTCCACCTCCTCCTTCATTACGATGATGGTTCTGGAAGGGGATGGAAAACAGCAGGATTTGGTATGGTTGAATGAGAAAACTGACATAAGGCGATGTGTACCAGAGCTAATCTATAATTCATCGTGATCATTCAGGGCTTTTAGAGAGCAGAGGAGAGAGAGGCGAGGGAGCCCCGACAAAGGGTATAAAGACCCCGCACGTGGATGTAGCCAGCGAGGGCTGTCACTTCAATGAGCACGGGTGGGCTGTGCAGGACCACCAGGGAGAGCTGGGCTCCTGGTACCTGCTGATGAGGAGGGGCTGCATTTGCAGATGACTAGAAGCAACTGTAGCACTGACATCTCATTATTTCCAGCTTTGTTGCTTGCTTTCCGGTCGCTGCTAATGGACCAGGCCCAGTTTTCTTGGTGTGTTACCGCCTCGGGCCTGCAGCACCTACTGCATCTAGAGTGGGATGTCTGCAGGGTTGAGTGCTTACTGTTCACTGGTTAAGGTGGGCAAGGCTAACCATTAACAACCATTAGGGAGAGGAGAGCTCGGACCCCAGACTAGTTAAGGTGGGCAAGGCTAACCACTAATGACCATTAGGGAGACGAGAGCTCGGACCCCAGACTGGTTAAGGTGGGCAAGGCTAACCACTAATGACCATTAGGGAGAGGAGAGCTCGGACTCCAGTCTGCTGCTCCGGGCTTTTTCCTGCTGGCAAAGTCAGGGGGACGACTGGATGGTTGAGGCCCGCCGCTGAGTTGTCAGCAGGAGAGGGATCGGCCTGCAAACAAGGTTCCCAGCCACCCCAGGTAGCTGGCTTTGCTACAGCACTGCCCAGCCTGGCTCTGGGGTTCCTGCCAAAGGCAGCTCTGCACCAGCCGGGAGCCCTGGGCCAAGCATTGTGGTGTCATGCAGAAGGCCAAGTGGTTCAGGGCTTGATCTCCTCCTCCCAGGAAGGTCTGTGCTGCCTCTCGGGTCTGTGGTTCAGGCTCTGTAGGTGCCTTCCTAACCATGTCTGTCTGTCAGTCCCCGTGCAGGCTCTCTGGACACGTCCTCCTAAAGCAGATGAGGAAGAGTGGCAGCTCCCCAGAAGAGAGGGCTTCTCTGGACACAGCAGGATTCTCGTCAGAAAGGCAGCTGCTCCGTCCTGCTGGGTATTGCGGAGCTGTAAGCCGCTCTCTTCCCAGATGAGGTGAACACAGCCTGCGCCACTCTGGCAAGGGCCAACGGGGCAAGGGGAGCTGTTGGCTCTCTGCTCAGCTCTGGGGAGGTCACACCTGGAAGCTCTGTCCCGTTTGGGCCTCCTCCCCCCTTCAAGTAGGATGTAGGGGTGCTGGGGAGGGTCTGGTTGGGGCTCTGGGGCTGGTCAGG